ATGTCAGCCATACCCAGGAGATAGCCCTTATGTCTCGAGGCAAACGGAACCCACTCGGTTCTATGTGACTCGAGGAATTGGGCAACAGTTTTATGTCTTTGACACACTTCGCCTGTTGCGAGCAGAAATTAATATCCGTTATCTCACCGATCACTATTTCCGGTTGGCAGATTGGTATGCCTCCCAGATTACCGTACTCACAGGGTTCCCTAAGCCCTATACTTATCTACACACAATGGGTGATGCTTATGCCTACAACGCGATGCTTGTACTGAGAAGTGGGATCCAAACTCTCTACCAGACTCGCGACCCTCTCGTGGATGATGACTTACAGTTCACTGTGGTGTCTGCCTCAGACACTACATATCATATTCACAATGACGACTTTGAGGATCGTCCCCTGACGATCCCGAAAACTTATCTCGTAAACCCATATTTTGATCTCGGGCATTGGTACCTAATCCATAGGTATCATACTCGCCCGATTGTAGACGACGGACCTGATGATCCCAGTGACATTGACTCGGAGTATACCGAGAACCCGGACTTGGATATCTACACTGAGTCCGAGAGCGAAGCCTCTCATCACTCACTCGAAATAAGCGCCCATCACGAAGCGCCTGACACAAGTTCAAACTCCGACTCGGAGGAAGACGATGAGCTGTCCGAAACTTCTCCCTCTGGTGATGTATCGGTAGAGGAGATTAATTGGGAACTCGGATGCGCTGGAAAGCGTATAATCCCTTGGAAAGACATAGGGGACTTGCTCGGAAACCGAGTAAGCAAGATATTAAATGCCTATGACGAGTTCCCCGGAGACCCGGGTACTATTAAGCTGGAGAAGCCTCGCTTCAAAGTACGGCGAGCGCTTGACAAAAAATGGGCGGTTGATGGTTTAGTTCATCAATCTCTTACTTATTTTGATGCTGAAGATCTCCGGAACCCAGAATTCCAGATCGGACTCGAGTATGGGCGAAGATGTGCCCAGATGAAGGGGATCAAAGTCCCTGCCTCATGGGATGCTCAGATCCATGAGTCCTATGGAGAATACCCTCGAATGGGGACTGATTCGGGCTCTCCAAGAGGCCCGTCCTTTTCTAAATGATGTGCCTTTCTCAGAGCGAGACCTTGTTACCTTCAGTGTGAAAAAGAATCCAGAAGACTCGGTCGAGTTTTTGATTCGAAATAATCATACTGGATGGATAACAGTGATTGATAGGTATAATGTGGAAAGCCCCAACTTCGATGCAGGTCGTTTCTATCAAGGAGAACGACTCCGAGAGGCTAGAGGGGAGTATGATGACCTCGATGACCTTGTTTGGGAGCCAAAATCGGTTCGTTTTGAAGATCCTCAGTCCCCAGGGGGAATTGACTCGTCCACAGACCTTCCTATGGAGAAAAGCCTTCAAGAATCAAAGGAAGGCTTGACCACCCCTTTGGGCGATGCGAAGGGCGAGAATAGCTCAATCAGCAAGCTGTTTTTTCGATTAAAGCATCTTGTCAAGCCCCCGGATCGTAATATTCTCATTGGAATACCTGCTTTTGCTGTACAAATCCCTCGAGGATCTCTACTAGCAATCCAATGAAACTCATCTCGAGTAAAAGACACAAGTCGAAATATACCTAAGGCAGTTGTAATAACTGTTCAGATTAACGGACACCCTGCCCGAGCACTCCTGGACTCAGGATCTCTCGGAGATTTCATGTCTTCGACGCTAGCTGATCAACTTAAGGTTGATCGCGTTAAATTTGATTCGTCTATAACCCTCCAGCTTGCTGTGCAGGGTTCCAGGTCAAAAATTAATGCAGGAACGACTGCTCAACTTCACTATGAAGGCGTTAAAGAGGACCGCTACTTTGATATAATAAACATGTCTTCATATGATATTATTCTAGGTACTCCATGGTTATTTCAACACCAGGTGTGTGTCGGATTTAACCCGGCTCGGGTTGTCATCGGAAGTGATGAAGCTCAACCCATGGAGGGAAAATCCATCGCACGACTTGCTTCTCGAGCTATCGAGATAGCAAATTTGGGTCTTGACTCGGCTCGGCGCCTTCTCATGGAGTATGCTGAACTGTTATGTAAGACCGCAAACGAAACGGAACTACCACCGTTTCGAACAATAAACCACTCTATCCCCCTCATAGACAAGAATAAAGTCTACCCGTGGCGTCCGTCTCGATGCCCTGAAGCTCTACGAAGCCAATGGGCTGAGAAACGAGACGCCTACTTGAGATCAGGTCGCTGGAAAATTACCAGCTCACGAAACACTGTGCCTATGTTGCTTATACCTAAGCCCCGAGCCCCAGGAGAACCTCCAATGCTTCGAACCGTGTTTGATCTATGAGCACGGAATGATAATACTTATAAATTGACCTCACCACTCCCGGATCCCGAGGGCATACTCCGAAGGGCGGCAAGTCACCCTTTTCGATTGTCAATGGATGGCAAAGATGCCTATGAACAAATCCATATTGAACCAGCTCATGTAGAGCGAACCGCTGTTACGACTCCTGATGGGAATATGGTCAGCCAAGTCATTCAAATCGGTGATTGCAATGCGCCTGCTACTTATCAGGCGCTAATGAATCATATTTTTTCGACCTTCATTGGTAGATTTATGGATATCTACCTGGATGACATTATTGTCTACTCGGACACTCTAGATGACCATATTGAGCATGTTAAGTCTATCCTTGATGTCCTCAAGGATGAGAAGCTCTACCTTAGCAAGAATAAATTACATTTTCTTGAACCTGAGCTCAAGATCCTTGGATGGATTGTCACGGATGATGGCATCCGGATGGATCCAGACAAGGTCGATTCAGTTATCAAATGGAAAACCCCTACAAACCGAGACTTACTGAGAGGTTTCCTGGGGTCTGTAGGCTATCTGGCCGATGATATTCCGAATGTTCGGATACCAATGGCAGTACTTCATGCCTTGACTGGGGACACCGTGTCCTTTCGGTGGGGTTATACAGAGCAGCATGCCTTTGAAGACGTTAAGCGCCTTGTCCAAACAGCGCATGACCACCATCGCGTACCAATTAATTATGCACGAGAAGCACCCCCAATATGGCTTGTGACTGATGGATGTGCGACTGGGATCACTGGCTTAATTAGTCAAGGTGAGGATTGGAAGACCGCGAAAATCGCTGCTTTCTATTCCGCAAAGCTGAACTCGGCTCAGCAAAATTACCCTGTTCATGAAATAGAAATGCTCGCAGGTATTGAGACCATGCTTCAGCATCAGGATATCCTTCAAGGAGCTAAGTTTAAATGGATAACCGACCACAAAGGTCTTATTCACCTTATCAATCAGAAATCTTTATCAGGGCGGCAGGCCCACTGGATCGAGAAGATCAGTGGGTTTGACTTTTCCGTCATGTATGTGCCGGGGACTGACAATGTTGTTGCCGATGCACTGTCTCGAATATACTCAAATGACGCACCAGGAACTGTTCGTGCACAGAGTGAATATACTTATTTTGATGTTGTAAATGAGGACACACCTCTGGATGACGAACCAATTATTCCACTCTTAGCAGGCATGGAAGCCTGTGTGGCTGTCCATCGGAGTCCCCGCCGTAAGGTACCACCTGCAGAGACAGGTCGCCCTGAAACTGCTGCAGAATTTGCGGCCCGGACAAAGGATCATTTTGTTCTCAAAGGCCCACGAGAACAAAAGAAGGGCGGGAATAGGAGTACAGAAACCCTGAAACTGACTCCTTCAAATAAAATTCATAAAACCCAAAGCGGGGAATCAGCTGGACAAGAATCGTCATCGCCACAAGTACCCAAAAGGGATATGGTACCTGAGCACGAGGATCACGGAGCCAGATCTGGAATAGAGAAAAAAGGCTTAGCGCCCGAGTACTCACTTTTACAAGTCCTATCTCAACCGGAATCTGGAATTGACCTTGAAATACAATTAAAATCCAAGTATCAGGATGACTCGTTCTTCAAGAATATCTTGGAAAACCCTTCTCAATTCAAGAACTTTTTGGTCGAGAACGGTCTAATTTACCTTCGTTCCGACCACCGAAAGCTTTTGTGCATACCTAAAGTGATTATCAATGGTCGAAGTACTCGGGAGATTATTATCACCGAGGCACACTCAATGCTCGCACACCTCGGGGCTACGAAAACCCTAGCCTATCTTAAGGATCATGTATGGTGGAAAGACATGGCATCGGAAACTAAGACCTATTGCTTATCATGTGTGACTTGCAAGCTTAGCAAGCCATCGAATCAAAAACCCTATGGGCTATTAAACCCTCTGCCTGTCCCAGGAACACCTTGGGAAGCCATCGGAGTTGACTTCGTTGGGCCACTACCTGAATCAAAGAACCATGATAGCACCTTTGACTGCATCACGGTGATAATCTGCCTGTTTACGGGTATGGTTCATTTGGTGCCTAGCCGAATTAATTACACATCAAAGCAAATCGCTGAACTCATGTTTGAAGAAGTATACAAGCTTCACGGACTCCCTAAACATATCATCAGTGACCGGGATGTCCTATTCACAAGCACATTGTGGAGTCACCTGAATAAATTGATTGGGACGCAGCTTCGAATGTCGAGTGCTTATCACCCGCAAATGGATGGATCTACAGAGCGGGCAAACCGCACGATTACCCAGATGTTAAGGCAGTGTATAAATGCAAAGCAGACTGATTGGGTCTCTCGTTTACCAGCCATCGAGTTTGCAATCAATTCAGCTCGATCCGAGAGTACGGGACATGCACCATTCTTCCTCAATACCGGGCGGATGCTGCGGTCAATGATATGGGATTCTGCTCCAAAGGAAGAATATCCCTCTGTCCATAACTTTGCCTTACAACGAAAGCTGGCTTTGATGTCTGCACATGACAGTATTCTCGCGGCCCGAGTTAAGCAAACTCGTGAGTCTAATAAGCGCCGAAGACTCGCTCCGTTTGTGCTCGACGACCTCGTGTACATATCTACTAAAAACATCACATTTCCGAAAGGTCTAGCACGGAAATTAATCCCAAAATACATGGGACCTTACAAGATTGTCCGGGACTTTGGAAACCAGTCCTTTCAAGTGGATCTTCCCTCTAACCTTAAGCAGAGGGGAGTACACAATGTTTTTCATGCTTCCTTACTTAGGATTCATGTTCCTAACGACGATCGCCTCTTTCCGGGGCGCCAGGTCACTCAAATTGTACCTGGCACCGATTTGGAACGAGAATGGGCTGTGGACAAGATATTGTCGCACTCAGGCTCTTGGAATGACTCAAGTTTTGAGGTACAATGGAAGGCAGGTGACATTACCTGGCTCCCATTTGGCCAAATTGAACACCTCAACGCGCTCAAGGACTATCTTGACCTTCTGGGCGTCGACTCAATCTCTAACCTCCCTCCCGGCTCTGGCCAACCTCCTCAAGATTATCCCCAAATTTTCGTTTGACTCATTCTTCTTCCAAACGTATAAGTACTCAGTAGTTTTATTTCGTTCTTTACCTCGGAACACCCCACATTCCGAGTTCTTTTCATTTTCCCCTCGCTTTATCATTCCCTTTGCCACCATTTCGTCTATCACCTCATCCTCTCCGTTCTCTCGCCACCATGGCATGCCCCAAGAACCTCTCCTCGACCGCATTAGACGCAACGATGCCGAACTCCAACGACTCCAGCTCCGTCGAGTCTCACTTGACCGCCTCCGTCTCCGACACCTCCGCCAACAGCGGGCCGCAGACTCCCTCCAACGCCTTCGCAACCGACAAGCCGACTCGCGCTGTCCAACCATTCGAGCCAGCTCCAGCCAACAAACACACGACTTTCCCCCTTCCCATACTCCAGCACCCAAACCTCACGACACTTCGGATAACCGACAACGCACGGAACAGGTTCAACCTTTTCCATATAGGTCAAGTCGCTGCCTATATTGCAGCCGAGAATTCTATTCGTTCTCGCCACTTCAACCCTCGCCTACTTCCATTTGGGTTTGAAGAGTTCACGGCGATCTTCAATGCCGCTGTTGCCAAAACCGGGTCACCCAAGCACTTCGCGGTATACGACTACACTACCAGCACCGCTTGCATCAAAGGCGAGAAGATTACCTTAGAAGATTTTAGTATTGACCCTGCTCTCATCGGTTGGCGCCGTGTTCTCTCGCCCAAGCGTCAACGCCTTCTGGAGCAACTATTGTGGCAAAACGTAGAGGCGGGTTCTAACCGGAACAAGAAGCGCAAGTTCTCGTCCCATGTTCCCACCGAATCTCCATCCCACTTTCAGCACGACGACGACGACGACGACTCTTCCAACGGAGCCGCTGCGATGGTCTACTAGAGGAAATTCCCTTGGAATTCCTGAAGGGCATATGTAACGACCGTGGGACTTCGCTCCTCGTCCCACCCTCTTTCCCATGACTTCCTAAGCGCTCGTAGACACGTTTCCAAGACCTTTTAATGACCTCCCCTAAACCCACCAAATCCTATAAATACGAGACCCGAATGTACTACTACCTCAGTGAATAGCACAGTAACTTGAACTGTCAGTTTCGCTCTCTAAGTCTCATCTCTCGTGTGCCGCCTCGCCTTCGGTCTTTTCCCACGGATCGCCGAAAGCTCAACGTCACACACCGAGCTCCCCGTGAAGGCGATGCCAAACAAGCTCAAGCCCATCGTTCCGGCTTGTCCTGTTCTTGTCCATCCTCGGCCTCGACGTATGGGAAAAACCGCTCTATGAACAAGGAAGACACCCGCTGATGAAGGTCTCGCCATGTGCCCCCGTCTCTGCCGTAAGTTTGTCACTATTGCAGCTTTTCGAATCTTGAACATCGTGTGGTGTTCGCAGTTTCAAGTTGTAGGCACCGGTGTTGCGATGGCCATTCATGATAGCCATACCACTTTTTGTGATATGTAGACAAGGCTGCTCCTCCGCACGTCTATTGCACTCCTCGACCTCGACGTGCGTCATCCATCTCCGTTTCGGCCGTTCCTCGGACACCTTTCTCAACATCGATATCGACATTAGCACTGGGGACCCTCACATCCTGCGACGGCCCCGATCTTGGCCGAATGAAACTGGGACCGTACCTCAGCAAGCACCGTCGAGATGACGTCTGCTCTCTCGAAGCTGAATGTGTTGACGACGCAGACAGTTGGATAGGTGTTTTCGATCGCCACATGGCTGTCGGGGCGTAGTTTGGCGTGAGGCGTGAAGGACGGGACGGCAGTGATGGACATACATCGCTTCTTGACCGGTTTTCTTCCGTGATATCTTACTGACCCGCCATCGCAGGCCTCGACGCTTTGGGCATGCACACGCCACCTCGTTACCCTCCCTATTCTTGCACATCCATCGCCGTCCTGAAGTGGCCGCAGAGTGTCGATGGATTGAGTGGGACGAACTAGACGTACGAGGATGGACGGGATTTTCTTTCGGAACAGATGGCGTGGAGAGAGATGGAGGAGGAGGCGAAGGTGGAGAGGAGGACGACAGAGAGGAAGAAGAGTTATATTCTAAAAGGTATTATCTCCAACGCTTGGTGTCACCAATTCATACTAATCGTTTCGCGCAGTAGTTTATGTATCTAGACCTACCAATGAAAGACGTGTCCATGTCGATAATCCTACGTTCCATTAGGGTTCAAGTATGCGCAAGAAGAACGAAACTTGGTGCGGGTGATTCTTACGCGTCAGTATATGCGCCGAAGAGTTCACGGAGTCTAAGCATGGAGGAGGCAAAGTGTGAGAGCAATGAATTGTTCAAGGTATGTCCTAGAATAGTTGTGGTCGTCGATTTATACTGATTGTTTCGTCTTACAGTTAATTATCTAGATATATATCATTCATGCGGCTCTTTGAGTGAATAGCCGCGGAGGGATACCAGAACCCCCGATATTCAGACGCGATACGGGAAGTCTTTCGCTCGCTGCAGTTGAGGCGTTCGATTCGCTTTCATCGGGCACAATAATATCTACTTACCTACAATTCATAGATTGCCCAGGTTATGAAAACTGAAGTAACTCTTTGACCATCGCCCTTCAGTACGTGCACAGTGCTTATTTTTACCTTTCCTCCTCACGTTGATTTGGGTTCGGCCAAATGTTGACTAGCTACTCATCGCTAGCACTCATGGGCTACATCCATCCATTGCCTTCGGGCCATGCCGTTCTTGTCTGCCTCATAGAAGGCAGTATGCTTTTTGTTCATCTTTCATTCCACTGTGGGAAGCCGGAGCCGGGGAAATACCTGCTTCGGGGAGTCCTGCCCCCAAAAGGCAAGAAATTCCGGGGCTTTTCAGTAGCCAGTAATTAAGTCATATCTAAAAATAGGTGAAATTCCCTGCTTTCGGTAGTCCTGCCTCTAAAGGCGGGCCATTGCGGCACTTTCCGGTCACCGGAGATTAAACCGTATCTAAAAATACCTAAATGCCTTGCTCTCGGAAGCAGGTATGAGTACACCCACCTATTTTCCTGCTACCAAGGGCATGTAAAATCCCAGGTTACGGCTTCTTTTGATGAATCACCTGCCTATGCCCTATGAGGTAGTTACAATTCAGCTACAGTAATGGGACTTATTGCTGCTGTGACACCATCTCGCCTTCCAGAGTTATTCCCTCCATCTGTCCGCATCCTCATGTTGAGGATCGAAAACATAGCTCAACAATATGCCGAAAATATGCCTAGATACACATTAACACCATGGACCAAGCTGACACCCTGATTTTGCCCATTGACAAGGTCCAGATGGCAATCTGCAACATATGCAGGCTTTTCAAAGACAGTGCTCTGTCTTTACAAGATGCGTACTGATGGCATGTATTTCGTGGTGCTGGAAGAGGACCAACCATGGTGTCGCAAATCATTATAGAGGGAATTTGGAGTGTCTGAAGCTCCAGATCTAGAGTGGTCAGTCCACAGATGGCGCGGTGGGAAGATACGCACCACAAGCCTTGGTGGTACAGTCTGTTGGTCGCCGTCGAGCAGTGCCTGGTTGAACAGCTCATCGGGGTATGAGTCCAGGCACCGAATACGGCACTTTGATTAGCTACTTGTAGATACACAGAGAGGAGAAGAGTACTCACTGGCAAATGGGCAGCGTCAGTGGTGGTAGCGCAAACCTGGAGAGCTTGGCATGCTGACAAGGGACAGCGGACTTGGGCGTCAGGTCAACCAATGTTTGGCATTGGCTTGTTTGTTCCACTAGGCGTCCAAACAAAGTGAGGAAGAAAACCTCACTTTGTTTGGACACCTAGTGGAACAAACAAGCTGATGCCAAACAACTTTGAGCACATGACAGTATGTGTCCCGTTCTGAGCCGCAATGTGTCTTCCGCAGCTTGTACCCCAACTGCCTTGTCTCACCCCCTCTCCACACCTGATCTTCTATCTGTCAGCACAGATGGCCATATAACTACCTCAAAACTAGATGGAACACCCGCACGAACAAATTCCGCTCTCCGATCTGGCTGATCACAAATCGGATCGCTGCTGGAGCCTGAGCGCGTCTAGAAGTGACACTGGTGCTGTAGGTATGGCCTCTTATTCAATGTATGCATTCATTTATGCTCATCTGTTGGATTTTTATGACCTGGAGTCAACTCATCCACGATTCGTCCACCGTGGCCCCATCTCTGGCAAGTTGAAGCAACTCTTGAATACCAGCCCTCTCTAACTTTCAGCACGGCATCATCGGCATATGCACAACTGGCAGGATAGCTCCTGAAGCCGTAGGGCATATACGTGGTATAGGAACCACACCGAAAGCAAAGGTGATTATAAACAGCATCAGGCAAAGGTAAGTTCACCTTTGGTTTTGCTGTTATGTACTCACTCACAGCGTCATTGTTGCAAAGACCAGTTGCGAGAAGGAGCAAATGATACTGTGGGCGGCTCTTGTGCGGCAGGTACATTGTTCCCAAGCTCATCGACTTTTGAGAGTCCATTTTGTTGACGCGTCTACAAGATTCAAAATCTGTTCGTGTGCTTGGTTCGACATCGCAAATATTGCTAACTCCGCACCACACCTGAAACTTGGCGTCTATGGTGTTGACGAAGGAGGTGTCAAGGTATGCGCCCTCCATCACCCCCTCATGTTGGTACTGATTCAATCAGTAAGTTGTACCAACATCTAGTGCAGGCTCACACTCCCATTACACTTGGTGAGGGGCACCGGGTTTCAGTCTCATTCGCATTGGAAGATTGCAGGACCCCCGGTTATCAAGAGCTCTATAGGGACTGCCAGTGCTCCATAGAGCAACTGCGAGCAGAAGATCACAACGGCCTACGTACTGGCTTGTCCGGTACATCTATCCCTTCAATTGACTCTCGCCGCACTGATTCCTTATCAACCATAGTTGTGGCAAATGTGGAATCCGTAGCAAGAGTATGTTTCAGTCTGCTGCTTCTCGCTGTACATAAATGCTGACCCGATGTCGTCCAGACCTTTCTCAAGCTCAGAAACGCCAATTACGCCATCCACAGCTGCTAGGTGTGAATCAATTGTTGTCCTGTTCAAAATTACTCATTATGTGCCCCGCTCTCCCCAGGCCTTTGACGAATAGAGCAGTTTGCCGTGAGCTCGACACAGGTGCGACAGAACTCAGCAGTCAGGTGGGGAGCCTCAGATACTATGTACAGATGTTTTATTTAACTACAAATACAACTGCTTTGAGCTCCAGGACTATGACCACCTATGAGACTGATGAAAATAGCAGCAGGGTGTAGGTGCCAAAAATGCCTGCCCGACCACCACGAAAAAATCTGCAATAGGCGCCGAAATTTGGGGTTTTTGCCACGTGTTTCCACTTTTTTTCGGTGCCTGAAACCCCTAATACTCCGGTTGTATTGCAGGTTAAAATAAGGCTACAACAGGCAGTAGTTTACGGTGCATACAAGATACCGTAGATATCAGTGCTATTCCGACGCGGGTTTTTTTGGAGCTTCGGCTGCCCACAGTGATTCTGCTTTCCTGCACACTTCCTTTGACACGTTGGTCTGTATTTCATATAATCGTTCGAGAATTTAGACTATGCGGCTCATACATCGGAAGAAACACCGAGCGAGTATCAACAATACAAGCCGAAAACTCGAGGTGAGGTCAGCCAGTCAGTCAGAAATACTGCATCGTACATGGGTTAAAATAACACCCACTCAGCACACAAGAAAAATACAAGAACGAAAGGTATGGATGAGCAGGCCGGGGAAGCTGCGGCCGCCGAAGGCACCAACAGAAGGCTCGCTCGCCCAGGTCTGTCGTCACACCTTGCTCACGCAGACACACATTCCACATCAGAAAGTACGTGAGGCGGTGCTCGACCTCGTCCCCAAAGGAAGGGCAAACAAAGTTGAGTGTTGGTGGACGGGGCTGAGGAGATACAGAAAACGAAACCCTCCAAGCTGCATTTGTACCGTGTCATTGATACACGAGGATAACGGTGCGATCAAGACCTAGGATCGAGGCGTCATGTGAGCCCAAGGCGGGCGATGCGTTGGGAGAGGTAGGAAAGTAAGTGCGTTTGAAACAATTGATAGGATGAGAACATTTCAGCGCTTCAGCATCCATTACGGAAGGAACAATTTGCTTGAGGGTTCGGAAACTCTCCCTATAGCAGCAGCCGTCCTGTGGTATCCCCGCCGTTGATGTGTTAGAAGGGGAGAGGCACAGAAATCGGAAGAAGTTCGCATATAGAGGACAGAGAGGGAATATCGTCCATATATAATCTGAAAGTGTGAAGGGGATAATCAATAAAGCTTAAAGCTTAAAGACTCGATTGTAGATGTCGACGATGTTGAGGAGAGAGGCTCCGGGAAACTCCGGCACAGTTCTCGCGGGCCGTTTCTTGTTAACGCCTTCGCCAAACAAGAGCAATCGATGAGCTCACCGTGCCGCTCGTTCTCCGCAACCATGTCCTTTTCCTCCTCCGAGTCCCCAGCTCCGTCCTTGTCGACATGACATCGAGGTGTGTTCAAATGCCGCCCGCTGATAAAGGTCCCAGAATTAATCCTAGTGAACGCCATAAGCCTACTGTTCACTCATACTCGAGTCTCGTCGCTTTTCGAACATCGCGTCTAACGAAAGCAGCGTTCAGTTTGTCGGCATCAGTCTAGCTATAACCATCCCACTCCTGATTCTACCTGGACGATGTGCTTTGTTGACTCGTCTCTCACTCTCTTCTTCGTCACGTGCACCTCTACCACAATGAACAAGGTTCTATCTCGTGGACCTCTTCACCATCCGGGACCTCATCACCCTTTAGCACCTCTTCAGCGCCAACAATAGGCAGTGGGGCCTCTCGACCACCCCCGCGACGTCCCAGTATTCGCTGAATCAGATTCGGACCGTACCTTCCTAAGCATAGACAAGATGATGTCGACCCCATCCAAGATGAAGGCGTCGATGGCGTGGATGGCAGCGAGAGCTTTCGTGATCGCGGCGAGCTGCTGGCGGTCGAAGGGGTGGTGCTGGCATGAAGGAAGGGGTGGGGGTTAGGGACGTATGTTTGCCTTTCCGTTTCTTCCTTCCTTCATGTCGCTGAACGAGAGTTGTCTTCGTGTGGTCAGGCAATAAACCTTCGCTCAACTTATGCACCACCTCCTCTTCCCCGCCCTGCCTTCCCTCTCCTCGTGCATACACAGGCCGCTGGAAATGGAGGAGGAACGTCATGATGTCGGTGCTATCGCGCCGTTCTGCGTGCACGAAGAGTGGAAGTGGGTATACGAGGAGAAGCACATGAAGCGCTTCTACGAGGAAGGAGGAATGATATCGTAGGTGCGGCGTTGATTGATGTGGATATAGAGGCGTGGGTTGAGACAAAAAGGAAGGAAAGGAAGTGGGCGTAGAGGTAGGAGAGGAAGCACGGTTCGAACGTTAGAATCTAAAAGATGCTTTTCCATTACGCTGATATCTTCTACGTCGCAGTGAATATCTCAATCGACAATAACAGAGTGTTTTCATACTCTGAAATTTCATATCAGAGTAAGGGTAGTTGGCCTACACTGAGAACCTCGAGGACTGCCAGCGGGGGCTCGGTGCATTAAGGACATGAAGGACAACAAAAGACCTTCAATTTCCTGGATTCTCGACGAACGGTACCGTGCAAGTACCTGTCCGCTGGTTTGTCCCTCCGTTTTCGCCGATCCCAATTCCAGCCACAAGCAACAGTGTTATTTGATGAAAATTGTGTTTGCTAGGGACTAGACTGACGAACACCTTCCGTTGGCCCTTTCCTTGCATCGTCGGGCATTTTCTCCTCAACGCACCGCACTTTCTCCCGTACTTATCTCGATTTAGTGGAATATCGAGATGCAGACAGCGTCGATATCCTCCTTGGTTTCGATGGTGTTGCGTTCGTCACATATTGCCTCGTATCTGTCTTTGTCAACCCTAGGTACGCGGCTTTCTCGTCGAGTTTCTTTCTTATCCTCTCTATGGGAGAACCCCCGCTCATCCAAGCCTGGTGGCGGAGAACAATAGAGAAAGTTGGAGGCCATCGAGGCGACACGGCGCCCATGGTGTCTAATCAGAAAGCCATTAACGCGTATCCAGCTGTCGATGCCAAGTTCGCGTTTTTCCTCGCAATTTGCTGAGCTCCACAGCGACGTCGATCCGCGTTATGGGGGCCAGGTTGGTTTGCTGTCTCTATTGGAAATATATATCAGTAATCCTTCATCGACCTTGGAGTATGGATAAGACATGTTTTCACGCCTAGAAAAATCCTCGTGAATGTGTACAACAGGCGATCAGCGCAGCGCAGACTGAGGCCTCGTCATCTGGGGTAAATACCGTCAGCCGCCGGTGGGGTAGTCTAATTGAAGTGAAGCAGGCGGCTAACCAGACCCAGACTCTTTCTTCCTTCCATTCACCTCGTGAACGTCGACACCATCAACGAACCGCAAAGAAATGTCGGAGACATCCTCGTCTGCCTTCCATGGAAGCACTTTCGTAAGCGAGCCATATATCCTTTCACTGGCAGGATCTCAAAGTTCCCCAGCGAAGTCATTGGACGGTTTGAATATCTTCAGCCTCCCGTAGATCATGAACCTTCAATTGCAAGTTCTGAAGGATGGGTGTCACCCCCCGACTCTGACATTGGTGATTTCAACGGGCCGGACCTTTCGTAAGTGATCATTCTGTCCCTTCACTTGCAAGATCTCAAAGTTCTGCAGTGAAGTCCTTGAGCAGTTCGAGAGCCTTCAGCTTCCCCCAGATCCTGAAACTTCAATTGCAAGTTCTGAAGGAACGATGTCACCACCCAACTCTGACGCTGGTGATTCCAACGACTCGGACCCAACACTTGCGGTCATGCAGAGTGGTCAGCCACTCGCAGCACAAGTCCTTGCGCGTCTTGGCGGTCACCTTATGGTAGTTATAGATCCTATTCTTCAATGTGAGTGTTTCTGATTAATACGACGATGGCTGATTTATTTATACCCCTCCGCAGTGCTCTACCTCTTAGGGCTGTTTTTTGTCGGATTATGGAGAGGTTTCACTAGTGTCATGGGTTGGCAGGGTGACTCTTAGGTCCGCTTGGGTACACGTTTGTATGTTCAATTGCCTATATTTCGGATCGAACTTTTTCATCCTCTCGTTCTCACGACAACCTTAAATAATTCCTTGAGCAACCCAGGCATCATGGACAGGCATTGCAAACCTGGGCCAAAATGCGTCGAGATGAGCCTCTCTTCCAGAAGTATTCCAAGACACTACGCACCATCTATGAAAAAGAGGCATGGAAGCGAGATCCTCACGTCGAGAGGTCGGGGGAGTTGAGAAATACCAAGGTGTACACGCAGGGAACGCTCAAGGAGATCGAGCGCTGCGATATCATCGCGAGCAGACAGCTCCCAATAGAAGAAACGCCCCAATCGCATTTGTTCCCTGGTTCCGTGGACCAATATCGAGAAGAGCTCTCCAGCGCGTGCAGGATTGGCTCGGCGGTAGTCGTTGAAAGCTGCATTAGCACGGCGAGGGTCCTCCTGGTGAAGGGCGGCGAGTAATACACACATTTCCGAGGGGGTGTGCGAGGGTTGGGGAGGCGATGCTGACGCCGGCTCATCGTGAATATTGTCATTCTCCGGCTTATCGTCTTCGATGTTGACTTGGAGGTCGCCGACGCTAATATTACCTGTGAATTGAGCGAACTTCGGAAGAAACCACTCGACTCACGGGAACCCTTGACCGGTAGGCGGCGAAGAGCGTGAAATGCGTATTTTCCTGCAACCCCTTGCCTCCGAGTATTCGCGACGAGCAGAGAGGTGTGGTGCACGGCGAGGAAGAAAGATCGGCTCCATCCAGTCCGATTGGCTCGTTACTCCTGTTGGTATACGGGCGGCTGGGCGAGAACGACGTAGAGTGTGGTGGTGGTGGTCAGAGTGAGACAACAAACGGAAACTCCTAACTTGAATTCAGAACCTGATTTGGAATTTCTCCTGTCCGACGCCACTCAATTGACGGCCATTGAGATGACACAAGACCGGTCTTACATTAAGCTTTAATTATTTATCAATGAGAGTGAGAACGATACGCGGAAAAGAATAGTCATCGTGAGGAGCTAGAGCAAATTCTGGCCTCGGAGTCAGGGCGTAATCTAAATTTTTATTTGGATCTCAGTAGCTAGATCTCTTCTTTCTTTCTTTTCTTTTCTTTGGCTGATCCCGCAGATCTCGAGATGGGTCCAAGCAGTGTAATATCATATCATATTATATCATACAAGATATTCTCGCTTCGCTTCGGCTACAAACAAAATCCGCCACTGAGCAGAATCTCAGAAGAATAATTTTGGATGAAACTCGAATTCCTGTAGGACCACGGCGCAAAAATGAACGAAACTCAAGGACTTGACTTGGAGACTGGCGGCTTGAGAATATGCGGAACCTAGCCCTGTGTCATACGATCGAAAGTTGACTTTTTGGAGGGGGTGGAATCTCAAGAGACGGAAGTCTGGGGCTAATGGAACTCGGAAAGGCAAGCCTGTGGCTCATGTGCCGTCATGCAATACTCTAGGAAATAAGGACACATAAACTAACGGAATAGGAGGGGACGAGAAAAAATTAAGAAGCATTGAGGGGAATCGAGGATAGGACATTACCTGATGACCTAGCGGTAGAACAATAAAGTGTCTGAGGAGCAGACGTACAAACAGACGTACACAAAGTCGAGGGATCTGCTTCATTATAGAGGTATCATATCGTGTTGATAACGTAACGGGAATGTCGTCCAGAGATATCACACAAAGCGTGAGTTTGAAAGGGAAAAGGGACGATGAATCCGAGATTCGAGAGAGCTCAGAGCCGAGCGCTCCGAGAAGCTATTGCCAAATATTCGCAAGCTGGAGCTTACCGACTTGTTCTTTGCCTCCATGTCCTCTCCCTCCTCCTCCTCCTCCTCCTCCTCTCCCTCCTTGCTGTCACCATCCTGAGGCCGCTGACTCGATGATCATGAACATCCCTCCTGAGGATAGTAACCCCGTAGATCCATAAGCCTTCGGTAAGCCTTCTCTTCATCCAACGATTCTCGAACGTTATGTATACTGACGGAAGGCTTTTGCATTTCGTAGGCATCGGCCTCGCGGTTGCGATCCAACTCATGGTGCTATGTTGATGCCGCTTCTCTTTTTCGCCCCTCTCGCTTTCCCCTGCACCATCTCCACCTCGACGTGTTTCCTCTACTGTAACCCGGGCCAACACCACCCCGCGACGCCCCGCGTCCGACCATATCTGCCCTATCTGAGCTGAAAGTGTCGATGGATTGGAACGCGACGCAAGAATCACGATCGCGATGGGGCTCGTGGCGGTCTGAGGCATGGTGTTGTTGTGGGGCGTGAAGTATAAGACGGCGGTTATGGGCGTACGTCGCCTCTTATCCCCTTCTCTTCCGTGATATCTTACTGACCCGACGTCGCAGGCCTGAAACTAGGAGTGAAAATGGGAGAACGCCGAACGACGGACGAACCGTGCGCACGAGGAAGAATTTACGTTGTAAGCACGGACAGCGTTCGGGGAATGGAGGTGGAGGTTGGAGTTGGGCGCAGAGCGGGCGAGGAGAGAGATGAAGTGGGATAAGAGACACAAGAGCTAGATTGTATAAGGTATGTTCCTCGGTCCATGACTTTCGTTCCGTCGCTCTGATCCTTTCTGCGTCTCAGTAGTAATTTAGATCAACAATAACAAAGGCGTTTCTATGACCTGAATCTCCGCACGAGTGGTTTCATGCACAAGGATCACTAAACCAACATGCTTTGACGCCCTCAGTCTGTTCAAAAAATTTCGAGTAGTATCGAATGATCAAGGACCACCTGCTTGTCTGAGGACATCGACGACCGCCAAAGACCTTCAAGGCTAACTCGTTCAACGAATAGGATGCATAGATGTCTGCTGTCGTCGTCTTCGCCGATCCATGTTCCAAGTTTCAGATCACAAACATCCGTCTGGCTCAACGAAGAACGACACTGAGCCTTCCCTTGCACCGTGTCGGTACATTTATTTTCTTCTGCGTCTC